CACATCTATTAGGTTATTTCCTTCCAGCACTACACTGCTTTCATTAAACTGAAAAAAAAGTGTCCCCACTGTTGGATCTAAAGAGCAACTGCCATCTGATGTTTGCTTGCTGTTCTATTTTTGTTCACAGCTTGCCTTTCCATGTCACATTTCAGCACTAGTTCTTTAAAGAGTTTACTTTGCAGAAGGCTTCCATGTATTTGCAATCCAAACAAAGCAGCAACAGAGTTTTGTGTCTATTTCTAGATGAGGCACTTTGGCCTCATTGTAGCTTTTTGGGAGAGGACAAAACTAAACGTCGTGTCATATGAATTAGGGTATGGGCAGGAACACTCCCCAATGCAATAGTGTTACACCACATATTTAGCTTCTCCAATCATGATGTGGGGAACATTAAGTTGCAAAGTTGCAGCTTTCTAACAGTAGTTGCAAGTCTGTAGAAATATGTAGGCCTTGACAGGTGGAAATACTGACAGCTTCTGCTGATGTTAGAAACTAAGCAGAATCAACCTTGGTTGGTGGTGCCTGGCTACCATCTTATCTGACCTGAGTTTTGACCTATTAGTGACTGGTCTGCTTTTTATCTCTTAAAGACAGGAAACTTTTTCCATTTCTTTTATTCTCCTCTTGGTATCAAGGTATAGCTATTGTGTCTAATTTAGGCTTTTTGTTTTCATCCATCTTCATTCACACCACTTCCTAAGGGACTGGATGTCTTCAGTTCTCCTGGGGATTATCAGCTGTCTGCCTTCTAGGAACCTTCTAATCACAGAGGGACTGATGACCTTTTGCCATGTGACTGGGGATCATCAATTTCATGCCCCTGGATTCATCACTGCAAGGGACTAGTAATCTTCTTCCCATTGAATGGGAACCACCAGTTCCTGCTTTGGGGGATTTTTTCTTATTCAAACACATACACAATTACATTCTGTCAACATGGCCATGCCACTGGCATACATCTAAATTACATTCCCCTTTGTTCATATAGCTTATGTACAGAAATTCAAGAACCAATCAGAATTAATCTCTTGTTTACTAAAAGCTAAAAAGGTTTACATAAAGCCAGCCATTACTGTCTCTACTTGAAAGTCAGCAAATGGTCACAACTTGTTATACCTGAGCCTATACACGCGTTGGGAAGAGGACATAGGAAAAGACAAGGAGGAAGGGAAGGTAGCCAGACGGAAAGTGTTTTAAGACTGCCACCAAGCCTGAGCATCTGGAGATGTGACTGAACCCATGCAACGGTTGTGCTAATTTGTTAGTGGTTGGTTTGTTTTTTCTCAGGCTACAAGTGTATTGTTGTCTCTTTGTTTTTATCTGTTTTATGCTATTTTAATTATTATTGGCTGCTCAGAGTCATGAACATGAGATGGGAAGCCATATAAATTGAGATAATAATAAATAATAAGATCTTCCTGAATCAGAATAAATGTCTTTCACCATTCAGGGTGAAATAGATGGAGCAGGAAAAGGTTGGTAGAAGAATGGAAACACAGGGAAGTAAATCAGATGACATTTTTCTTCCCCTTTGCAGCATCCTCTCTTTCTTTTAAAGCTCAGAATTTCTTATGAATGTAATGCCATCTCTTCCTCCCTTAATTGGTTCATTCGTCCCAATTCTTCCTATATGACCAAGACCCATGAATGTCCTGTTTTGTGCTCACTTTCAATCTGTCAGAACTCAGGCAACCTTGTCAGATCTTGAAAAACTAAGCAGAGACAGACTGACTGGTATTTGGATAGGAGAGAGCCTGGAAATTTGAGGTCTGTAGGCTAGTCTGGGACCATTCCAGAAGGTGGGAATGCAAAGCTCTACTCTAAGGATGTCAAGAAACCTGCCCAGAATCCATCAGAAGAGGTCAAGCTCAGTGTGATAGTGAGTTTTCCTTTTGAAAATTGTATCATTCTAACTGTATATCCCATTTAGTGATAGATCAAGGAAAGTTAGTCTTTTTTAAATTGGTTCTAAGAAGCCTCAGGTCATGTTGACTTCTGACAAAAGTAGTTTCTCCTCTTCCAGGATTTTTTTTTTTTTTAGGTCCTCCCAGTCATGATTACAGTCCTGGAGTTTCCAATCTTTACTGTTCTCAAAAAGGCTAAGTAAAGTTAGTATATAGATGAAAGACCTCTAGGAAATCCCAAGACTATAGAAAAGGAAGTCAAGAAAAGACAATGGCAAACCATTCCATTCAGTGGCAAAGAAAATTATGGGAAGTCACTAGGAATCACATTTGATTTAAAGGGGATTTGTGTTTACTTGGAAGGCCAAAAGGTGCATGGAAGTAACACCGTAACATCACAGGAAAGAAAGAAATGAATTTTGGGGTGATGGCAGGGAAGCTTGGAGAATAATCTTGGCTATTTTGTTCCTTATTTCTAGCACAGAGGACTCCTGAATAATCATAGCACTAAATTGCAATAGCACAAACTATGAGAGATCTAGGGATCTTGAAAAAAGGAGCTGGGGGCTTCATGCAACCTGTGGCTCATGGATGCCCATCTCTAATGCACATCTATTCAGAAAAGCACTTGTATTTGGTTTGTACATATTTTCAGGAGGTGACAGTTTCATGAAACACTATTTCCTACTGCAGTGAACATCTAAACATGCATAAAAATATATTTTTGGGTTTGGCCCTAGGGCTATTCAAATATTTTAATTCCTGCTGTACTCATCTTCTGTTTAAGCCCTTATCCTGAATTAATATTTACTAGCTAGGAGAAACAACCTAGAGCTTAGAAAGGTATATTTAAAATGCTTAAGCAAATTTAACACCAGCTCCTAAAATACCACCTGTCTCACATCACATAAATTCTTTAAAGGAAGAGTGGCCTTCCACTCTTTATTGCCCTTCACTAGAACTCCCAGCTGGGGCTAGAAGCAAAACTGTGGCTCAAGATGAAAGCACAGAGCTTTCTTCATTAGTTATTTTCCAGCATCATTATAATGGTCTGGCAAGCCCAATTTATTCCCAATCTGTACCACTTGCTGGGCCAAGGTTTACACAGCTATAACCTGCTGTTTTCTGTACTAAACATCTGCCAGTCACAAATGAAGTAGAGAGTCAGAGAAATCATCTTTCTGCTGCTAGTTCTATTACCACAACAATGACTGATCCCCTAATGAAGAAAGATTGATATGGTTGTAGAAAAAGTGCATTGAGTAGAAGCTTAGTTGAGGAATATCTTTTCAGTACCAGAATTAGAACAGAGAAGCCACTCTTATCATCTCCAAGTTTTCTTGATTTCAGAAACCTAATTTGGAGGGAGGTACTCCTATTGTTAATCAATGAATTATCTTTTGCTGATCTCCTGCAAATCACCCAGAGATCTTCCAGTAGATTCTGATTTACTTCTACATGTCCTCCTTCAGAAAAGCAGGTATCAGTCTTGCAAGGTAGTGTAGACAGGAAGCACACCCGGATGAACTAGTTCTACTTTATTTTAAGGTTACATTAACAGAAGCTTGCAAGTCTGAAAGTATAGTTCTGTCCCATCACCTTTACAGCCCAAGAAACTAGGGAGGGTCCCATCTGAGATGCCAAACCTATAATCCTTCTGCAGGCTAAGCTGCCTCTTGTCTGGCTGTGGCTCTTCTCCTGTCTCCCCAAGGTCATTCCCACATACCATTTCCCAGTTCAGACATGTTCACTGGATAGAAAGTTTCCATAAACCAGATCAGAACTATAAAGAGGAAAAAGTTTAATGCCTCCTTTTCACCCAACAGAATTTGGGATAAATTGGGGTTCAGAATCTATTTAATTATACACACACAGACATCTATTTGCTAACTGCATGAGATTAGTGAGATTGGTCTCAGCTTTATTTTAACTGTGAACTGCTCCTAAGAATGCACTTTTCATTTATAAAGTACTTCAATGGACTGTAAGTAAATGGATTCAAGTCTGGGTAAAGTGGAAGATCCTCTGAGTGAGAAGCTGAAGAGCTATCCATATTTCCTTGCCCAAATTTCTTAATATGTAAGAGGTAGACCTCTGGAACTGACTCTATCAAAAATGTAGGGACTACAGTAAACTAGTAGAACATGACTCCTATGTACACAAGTAGACAAAATCAATCCCAAGTTTCACCTGAAATCCTGGGAGGAAAGTACCAAAAACAAACAAACAAAACCAAACCAAAAAAAATCCTCTAGTAGCAGAGTTGAAGAGCAACTCTGTGTATGAATAAACAACACTGCACTAGATGAGCATCTGGGCTTAGAGATGGCCTCCAAAGGTTGCTGAACCCTTCATAATTGTCCATGCTGAGTAGGGTTGCTCAGAGCTGTAATTTACAAACATCTGGAGAGCCACAGATTTGGCATGATATCAGTTCCCTATGTTCTACCAGAAGAAGACTTTGGGCAGCTGTGGATGGTTGGCCTTGCATTGCCTTCACAGAATATCGAAAATAGTTGTTTGCTAACAGACGTGATGCTTATGAACAAGCACAGTTGTCCACTGACTGGATGGTGGCAAGTTTCCCTTTTTATGTGAGCCCTGGTTTCTCTCAGAAAACAAATCTGGAATTTCATTATAACTGAATGCTTTCTACGGTCTATTTTCCAATACTATAATAATTACTCTCAAGCAAAAGTGCTGGTTATTTGTATACCTGCAAAATCAACAATATATTACATAATAACACTTTCTAGCAGGTTTTTTGTCATATCAGAGTTTTTGTTTTAAGTAAGGCCAGGAATGAGAAAACAAATGAATCTCTTTGGCTCTCCTTCTCATGAAAAAAGGAGATGTCGCAAGCAGCAATCGGACAGAAAATTCCACATTTGTCCCTTTAACAGTTATACCACTATTAAGTAAATCCTTGTCTGCCTTTGAGGGAGGGCCGAAAATATTGCTTTGCCTTGCAACTAGATGCAATATAATGCGATGCAGATGACTGAAAATTAGTCAGCAGCGTGGATTGTATTGGAGCAGAATAGCAGCTACTCAGGAACCGTGACCACCAGCAGATGGAAAGGTACAGTGAGCACATATATTACACCAATCCACTGAACAGTAGGTGTGGACTTCTGGAATTCTCATCAGTAGTCAGGCTTGCTGGGGAATTCTGGGAACTGTAGTCCATACATCTGGAGGATGCAGAAATGGTGGAAGACTGATTTAAAATCTGAATGGAATTACAGTAAGTCTCTCCTGTTGCTGTTTTGCTTTTGATTGACGAAAGAAAAATTCATACCCACCTTCCTGCTTGTGATGTTTCCTACTATTTCTAGATTTTGAGGGCCCCTAAATATTTGAAACTCTTGGCAACTGATGAGGGTGCCTATTAGTAAAACACACAGTAATTTCAAAGATAAACATTACTGAATGTTTGTTGATTACTATAAGCATACCAAGTTTTCCAGATGTTTGCCAGCTTGTATCATTTAATAATGAAATAAAAGATTAGATTTTATTTAGTTACTATTAAATTTCAATAGTATTTGGGGGCTTAGAAGAATTAAAAAGCACAACATATAAAACATAAAAATAAAATCAGTACAATTAAGTTCAAACTCAAAAGTTAATATTTATTTATTTACTAAAGCGGTAATCTGCCTCATTCCCAATACTCCAGACACTTTCCAAAATATGATAAAAAAGAACAACCACATAAATATAACATAGCATAAACAACTAAACATCATAAAAATCTTTAAGGAAAATAACTTGTGCTGCAGTTTTATACTTTCAATGTTCTACTAAAAAGCCATGGCCTTAAGAAGTGTGGGGGGCTACACATTTCAAGGTGCAACATATTCCTTATGGTCTGGACCACCACAGACAAGCTTTGCTTCTGTTCCTAATAAATTAAGTAGCAAAAATCCCTATACAGGGTCCATTGACTATGTGCAGAAACTGTTGGCCATATTCAATGTCGGAGAAGACCAGAATAGGTAGTGTGTATATTTACATCCTTCTTGTTCACATTCAGGCTTATTGAGATATGTGATCCAGGTCTCTGAGTTACAAGAAGGTATGTGATGTCTATGTTGAATAAAGAAGTTCTTCATTACAGCAAAAATCAGTACTTGGAGGTTGGTAAGGAAAACCTGAGACTGAATAAATAGGAGCCTTTGACAATAGGCAGGCAAGAATATGTGATTAGAAGCATCGTAAAAATAGTTATTAAGAGTAAACTGATGTGACATATAGCCGGATCTAGGTGTCACTAAAATGTTACCTTTCGGTTAGAAATCACCTCCTGAACATCTCAAAAGGAAAATGTAGGAGAATAAATCTATAATCACAGACCAGGAATTTATCTGGCATTCATAATATATATTATCTTGCACAAACAAGTCATAAAATATACTTATCTGGTATTTTGCGGGAGAATGGGATAAGGAGAATTTCAATTTAGTACAAAGGTACCTAATAATTTCAAGGACAAAAGGAGGGATTAGTGGGTTTTCATTTAAGACCATGTGAAGTTGCTAAGCTCCAATTGGTTGCTTAGAAGCTAAACCACAGTTTAAATTCTTGCAAGGTACCATTCTAGGTCTTTATCTCAAAGACCTGAGGCACAGAGGCATCAAATGTCAAATAATTTTTGAATTATTCACTGCTGTCCAGCGAAAAAGGTGAGTGGATTTTTTTAAAATATGAAAAACCAAAAGTTTCCAATATTATTGCTTTATTAAAAATGTGGATGAATAAAGTGTATAGACTGCTGAGTACATCTTGTCTCCAATCAAATGGCTATTTGAAGTTCTTGAACTGGCTTGTCCATTTTAAAAGCAAATAAGAGAATGTGAGAAAGACTAAAAGTGGTTTAGCAGCATTCTGGCTGTACGAAAGCTCTTTTGTGGATTTGCACAGAATTATATTTCATAAATTTCTGTACAACAGACAGACTTCCAACTAGAAATCTGAATAACTGGAACATTTCTTAGTACAAAAGTGTTGTTACCTTGTCTGCTGGATTTTTGCTAATTGTGAAAAAGCTAAAATAAAAAAAAGGATGTTCTATACAATTATGATAGAAAGAATAGCTTCTGTGACATTGTTTTTGGTAGGGATCAGAGTACAATTAATTTTTGTTAATTAAATAGGTACCATTCAGTTGACCTCAACTCCTGGTGACTGAAAGTACAAATGTTCCCCATTTTGACTTGCTCATCTTGAAATATGAACCAAACCAAGTTTATATTTTCAAACAAGACGCAGAGTGAAACTCATTTTATCTTTTGAATTCCACACTTTTCCAAAAGTTGAAATGCAGCTTGGTAATCAAGTGATGTATATTACAGAACAGCCTCTCTCTCTTCATGAAAATAATGCGGAACTATGCATTATAATAGTCTGCCAAACCTGTGGATGTTAGGCATAACTGCAAACAAAAGGCATAGGTTTGGAGAATGGTGCATACAGATGTTTAAAAATTCTAGTTCAAAAAGACAGTGGAATAGGAGGAACTGAGAGAAGAAATGAGAAGTTGAAATTTGTATATCTGTATATTTGTCCTTCCTTATTTTTGAGAGTGATGACATGTTACTGGAAGAGAACTTTAACTTCCTCAGTTTTAAACAAATTCAGGAAGCTGAAGCAGAAATGGTTATGTTTGGAGGACTTAAAATGCTGATAATGCAGTGTGAATAAAACTTCTTGGGTTAGAAGTTCTAATTAGGACCAAACTAAATGTGGTATGAAATGCATTTTTCGATTGAATGTGCAGGTTTTTCAAAATGCAAATAGCCTCAGCTGGGGATGCTGACAATTATTGGAGCTGCAGCAGAGAGGGAACTTAATGTCAAGTCTAGTCCTTATGTACAAAACAGCTGCATATTGAATTTGGGGAAATGCTATCTCAGCAGCTGTATGGATTTAGTGGTCAGAAAGTGATGGCTTTGTGACTGTTCTTTCAGCAACCGGAAATGATTAGAATGTAGAATATGAGATTGGACTATCATAAAATGTTTTGAATTCTTGTTCTGGAAAGTTTAGATGAAGCTAATTTTTCAGAAAAATGACGCATGCATTGAACAGATTGCTTGATAGAATTTATGCAACAGGAAAAGATCATCATCATCATCATCATCTCCTTTGTTGCTATCTGAATATTCTTCCAAAATATGACAAATAGAAATAGGGACATGATCTTCTCCCTTAATATAATATGAGATGTAGAGCAGAATGGAGTGAAGAAACTGTAATAAAAGCAGTAATGATATATAAGATGGCTTGCTAGGAGAAATCCCTATAGGTTACTAGAAGGTGATTAAGATGTAAGGAGAATTCCTTTTATACACTGGGATACAGAGGTGAAAGGAATAATATTTGGCAACCCCATGTTAAAAAAGTTATTTACTGGATATGTTCTCCCTGGTTTGGACAGCTGGTATTAATATGAAAAATACACTTACATCTGGTGCATTTTCCCTGATTGTTGTTTGCTATTCTACTTGCTTTGAAGCCTAGGAGGAAAAGATAACAGATGAAAAAGCTGAAAAGGATGATTTTAATGTTCCTCTCACATACCTTTTGGGTTTCTTTCCACAGCTTAACCAAGTTTGGTTGTCCTGTGCTGTTGGTATGAATGCGTTTTGAACAATTACAGAAGCAAAGTTCTGCTCAATTTGACCAACATCCACGTGGTCCTTCCTCTACATTCTTACAGTTGGTTCTGGATAGCTTGCAACCAAGGTATGAAGGCTATAGCCTTTCCCCACCATTACCCTGGCCTCAGTTGTATATTATCTATAGACCTAATGGTTCCATATGTCCATTTTGAGCAAGTATGGGAAAACTATATAACTCAGGTGTTCCCAAGTTATCATGTAGCCAAAAGCTACTGAGAAGGCCAACAGCTGGATGGCTACAAGCTTTCCATCTTCGCTCTTGAGTAGAAGTGCTAGGTGGATCAATTCGCATGACATCGACTTTGGAAAGAGATCATTGGAGACGCACATCCCATCAATTAATACATTCTGTGAAGAAGCATTTTCATTTACCTGCCCTGAACCTATTGTCAATAAATGTCTAACTTTAGCAGCGAAAAATATATCTCTGCCTTCGTCACATTACTGTGCACAATTTTATAAGCCTTTTCCATGCCCCCCCCTTTTTTTCCTTTAATGGAAAAAACCCAAATGCTTTCCATTTACTCATACTTTATGAGTATGATACTTTAACCTCTTGCTTTTTTTGCAAGTTGCCTCTGGTCATTTCCTTTACCTTTATAACAATGCTTTCAAAGATGTTTAATACTGAGAGAACCTACTCCAGTCTCTTGGCAATTGCCTGTTTCCACCCCTCTGTGGAAAACTTAAAACCCAAGTGGTTTGAAAAGAATGTTTCAATAGATACCTTGGGTTTAACCAAGCACAATAATGAACTCTTAAGTACTTTAAAAAAAGAATTTTGGTTTTTTTCACTTTATGATATACTGGACTTTCCCATCTATTTATTCTATATGTTTCTCTTTTCCCACCTAAATTGGGATGTCACATCTTGTGACTGGTGGAAACCTATTATTATGAGTTCTCACCTCTCTGGTGGTTTCACAGTGCCTGGACCTTTATGGCAGCTGAGATAGCTCTTGCCTGGGACAGAATCACTTGACCAACATACAGGAGATGATTAACAACTCATGTGGCTTCTTTGGTCTTGGGTGGCATATCAGGCCCAAGGCCTGGTGTTGATAATTAAGGCCTACATGAGTATATTTGCTGCCATGCCTTTTGAGAATAAAAAACCCAACAACCCTCAGCCAGCTATAGTGGTCACAGTAATCACTACCAAATGTTCCTGGGATACTGTAAGTTATATCTATGCACAGAATGCAGAGAATACAGTCTGTCTCATGTATATGTGTATGTGTGTGTGTGTGTGTATATATATATATATATATATATATATATTTATATGTAATGATTCATTTATCTTAGTGACTGCACGGTTAACATAAGAAAGAATATTAGGTAGGAAGGAGTTGTGTGTTTATTTAAATATTATTTCTTCTCAGTAGGTTTACTGAGACTATTGAGACAAACAGGACTTTTGTGGGATTACCTACAAAGACCCTATCCTTAGCCAGAGTAAGTTCTAACTCCAATATCTGTAAAACGATCCCCAAAAAAGAAAATAAAAAAAGAGGAAATAACAGATTAGAGCCCTTGGACACAGAGCTGAGATTAAGCCACCCTGGAGTTCTGTTCTTTGTATGAATTATATTGCCCAAGCAAGTACTCATGTAATTGCAAAGGCTTTGTGTTATATATAGCAGTCTTTCATAACTCCAAGATTTTTGTCTCTTTTTGCAAAGACCAGTATATTTTTAGACTTCTCATGGCTAGTCCCAGCCTAGTACTAGCATCTTGCAATGGCCCGGAGCCAATTTTACATGAATGGAAGACCTGTGTCCCATAACTGAAGAGGAGGGCAGGTAGTTCTCCCCTAGTCAAGCTATTCAGTTTTAAAACAACTGCCATTCACTAGAGAGCTGGGTTGATTAAACAAAAAACTCTTGTTTGTAATAAGAACCACCAACACCCCCTTGATCTGAGAGCAATGAGAGTACAAAATTCTTCAACAAGATTTTTGTAGCAAGAGTTCATAATTCTCAGCAGCCCCAGTGAAACTTCTCTTTCTGCTATCCTGTAGCTTCCCTTTCGATAGCATCCTGTTTTAACTATTGACTGATCAATTTAAATATTATTAGTAAGCTTTATGCTAGGTACTTATTTTACAAACTAGTGGACTGGATGGAGCAGAAAAACATGCTTGCTGAGAAGCAGAGTGGATTTAGGATGGGGAGATCAACCATGGATCAGTGTTAGCTTACATCTTATACAAAATACCCATAAACCTCCAGAGAAGTCCTATACATATGGCATTCATTGATTTCAAAGCAGCTTTTAACTGTGTTTCTAGAGAACTGTGGAACAATTTGGAGATCTTATCCATTCATAGGTGCCTCCTGGCATTCCTTATTAAAAGGTTGCATGATATTACCTGTGTCTAAATTAGGTTTGACAAGCAAGATCAGCTTTCTGCTGTGGTGCCTACTTCCAAAGTGTTAAACAAGGGTGCATTTTAAACCATTTCCTAGTTAATTTTTGTATCAATTATATGGTGGAAAAAATCACAAAACTGGAACATCACCTGCCAGGTCTGGTGGACAGACATATTTCATTACTTCTATATATAGATGATGAAGCCATTTTCTCAACTTGGAGTGAGGAGAGCATTAAGTTCAACTGCCTCCTATTGCACAGATAATTACCTGTTTATTAACTATCAATTATGGTTTTTTCAAAGAGACATAAATATAAATGCAAATTAAAAGGAATTTTGTTGAACAGGTTAAGGCCTTTAATTATCTTTAAATTATTTTTCATGCTATAGCCTAAGTTCAGCCTTTAAAGGATATGGTAAAAAAAAGGCCACAGCTGCCATCTTAAGGTCTTTCCATACCAAAGGAGGTGATTATATACCAGATGAACTAAAAGTGTTTGAGGCTAAAGTAACAACACTTTACTTCTTAAGGCTTCCAACTACAGGTTGTCCTCGCTTAACCACCATTAATTTAGAAACTGTTCGAAGTTACAATGATGCTGAAAAAAGTGACTTTTGACCAGTCCTCACACTTATGATTGTGGTAGGGTCCCCATGGTCACATGATTGTGATTCAGGCACTTGGCAACTGTCACACATTTACAACGGTTGCAGCATCCTGCGGTCATGTGATTGCCATTTGCGACCTTCCCAGCTGGCTTCTGACAAGCAAAGTCAGTGGGGAAGCCAACAGGAGGTCACAAGTCAGTCACATGATATCTTGCTTAACGACTGCAACTGGGACTGCCAGAACTATTGTCAGAAATATTGTCAACACTTGTAATATGGAATGAATGTCTGAGTATCAATGCTAAAATGTGTTTTGGTTTCTTCATAGGTAACAGTACCAAGTATGAAGACTCTGCTTCTCCTTATCAGTATTCTTGGACTAGTCGTTGCTTCCCCTGTAAGTGAACTGAAGTATAATAAGTATTAACCCCACATAACTAAAAGGATGATGTGATGTAGGGCTGTACAACCACAGCTTAAATAAGGCTGATGATCAAGATCTAAAATTTTGTGAGCAAACTTGCAGAATGGGCTGTTTTTAATGGCATTATATCTTTCCAGATATGTTTTCATATTGGAGACACTCTAGAAAAAATATGGAAAATAGAAAAGAAGCTTCAGGGGAATTGGTGAAAATAATGTTCTGCCCTAATTCATAAAAACTCCAAAGATCAAAGACAATTAGTTCTAGATTCGAACAAATTTAAAATCCTGAGTCATTCAAGACTCACATGCTTGGAATAAGAACATCTGCTTATGTTCTTTGTAGTTATGGACATGCTGGCTGGGAATTCTGGGAATGCTAATGACTATACATCTGGAGGATACTAAGTTTGGGAAATTGCTATATTGACAACAGATGGCTTTGTGGTGTATAGTAACTGATTAGGTCTCACCATATGTTTTGCAGACATTTTTAAAAAACACGAGTACTAATTCAAGTCTGTGGGAATTCAGCTTTTCTTCTTACTTCACTGGCTATTCCATGCTAGTGATTTAATAGCATCATTCAGCAGTTGCTAGATAATCTGTCAGTAATGAAGACGATGTCATGCCACCCCAGTGATGACTGGCTAGTTCTGTTTTCTGTCCACTCTAAAATGTGGGTGGGCAACCTGTGGTCCTTGAGCATATGCAGCTACCAGACTTTTTTGGGGGTTAGTCTCAAGACATTTCACAGATTACTCTACACTGAAAATCTGTGGTGCAGTATTGGAAAGGATAGAGAAATAAGAAGCAAATTAGGCATTAACAAGTGTAATCTATCCCACATACATACATGCATATATATCAACTATCGATGTTATTGCATTTATGTAGTTTTCATATTAATGGTAGTCTTTTTATTTATAGTCTGGTTTTATCTGCTAATTGATGTTATTATTTTAATCTTTTCTTGCCTTCTAACAATCTGATTATTTTTGTGAATTTCTAAATATTTAAGTAGACAATTGCCTTCTTGTATACTGTGTTATTTACCTAAATTACTATAGCTTTTTATATTTCATTTTTATGTTATTGTATTTACAGTTTTATAGTTACTGCTTTCTGGTTTTATAAAGTTTTATCTTGTCATATCTTGTAGCTAAAATTGTCCTTATTGGACTGGTTTCAAATTTTGATATGTACTATATTTATGCTGATTTATGACTGCAATAAAATACATTATAGCTATTCCCATTATGCTATTCTTCTCAGGGGTAGCAACACTGTGCAATGTGCAAAAAAGAAGTGTAACAAATAATAAGATAAAGAAATTATAATCATGAGATAAGAAAAGGAAATGTAAATCTGGTTTATACCAAAAATATTCTCTATAGCTCAAAATCAACTAGCTTTCTATTGTGTCTTGTACAATGTATCATACACAGCTTTTTGTTTCTTCAACTTCTCTCTTTCTGAGGATCTCATCAACTCCATCCAATCTTGGATTTCTCAATTTTCTGTTTCCCTTATCCCATTTGCTCTTCCTTCTTGTATTTGTTTTGTGATTTGATCCTTATTCATTCTGTCTATATAATAACCTTAACAAACTTCTTTTGTACTGGAGATTCTCTTTTGCATTCAAACTAAAGAATTATTGACATCCTATGATTCCTCAAGGCAGATTAAAAAAAAAAAAAGATTCATTGCTCCAAAATCCACAGTTTTGCCTAACATTCCTCTAAGTACATTCACATGCTAATATTTATGCTTCTTTGTGACAGATCCAGAGGAGTGATGCTTTGCTCAGAAGAGGCCCCGGGGACAATATTAATTCTACTAATGTAGATAAAGAAATATTAGTTAATACTGCCCATAAAAATGAGCATAAGCAAAGCAGAGATGGTGATCACCAGGAAGGAGGAATATTGCTCAACCTCAAGAAACAGTATGTTGTAGCTGAAAAAGTCTCTACAGATGATGCTATCAATCCCTACAGAGTTGACCAGAATGCCAGTGAGAGACAGCTGCTTCAGGATAGCATAGGACTTGCAAAAGTCACAAGTAATAATCAGTACAATACGCAGGAAAGTCTGGGTAAATACCTTAAGAGCCATCAGGTGGATCTCTTCAAAAAGATTGGCAACATTGAACAAAATTACATTGAACGTCAGAAAGAGAACAATGCAGTTCATGGCCCAGCATCCACAACAGGAAGCCCCAACATTCATGAGACAGATACCTTTGCTGAAAAGCAGTATATTGAGGGATCTCACACCAGGAGTGATCTTAAGCCAAGAAAAGATGTTGATCATTACAGTTTTGACAGCTTCAATTTATATGATGAGGGCATGCAAGGAGATGACCCAGGATATGCTGATGACTCTGATTCTGGTGAGAGCAATTCCAACCAGCACTCTGGGGGACCAGATAGTTCAAGTGATTCAAATGAGGAGGAATCAGAACAATCCAGCAATTCAGCAAACCCTGGAAGCTCAAATGATTCCAATGGGTCCCAAGATTCCAGCAACTCTAATGATTCCAGTAGTTCAAGTGACTCTACTGATTCTAGCAGCTCCAGTGATTCTAGCAGCTCCAGTGATTCTAGCAGCTCCAGTGACTCCAGTGATTCTAGCAGCTCCAGTGACTCCAGTGATTCAAGCAGCTCCAGTGCCTCCAGTGATTCAAGCAGTTCTAGTGCCTCTAGTGATTCGAGCAGTTCCAGTGATTCTAGTGACTCTTCTAGCAGCTCAAGTAGCTCCAGTGATTCTAGTGACTCCAACAGTTCCAGTGACTCAAGTGATTCCAGTGGTGCTAGTGATTCTGATGATTCTTCTGAGTCCAGCAGTTCAAGTAGCTCCAGTGATTCTAGTGACTCCAATGGTTCCAGTGATTCCAGTGGCGCTAGTGATTCTGGTGATTCTTCTGAGTCCAGCAGCTCAAGTAGCTCCAGTGATTCTAGTGACTCCAACAGTTCCAGTGACTCAAGTGATTCCAGTGGTGCTAGTGATTCTGATGATTCTTCTGAGTCCAGCAGTTCAAGTAGCTCCAGTGATTCTAGTGACTCCAATGGTTCCAGTGATTCCAGTGGCGCTAGTGATTCTGGTGATTCTTCTGAGTCCAGCAGCTCAAGTAGCTCCAGTGATTCTAGTGACTCCAACAGTTCCAGTGACTCAAGTGATTCCAGTGGTGCTAGTGATTCTGATGATTCTTCTGAGTCCAGCAGCTCTAGTGATTCTAGTGGTTCCAACAGTTCCAGTGCTTCTGATGCCTCTGATAGTTCTAATGGCAATAGCAGCTCCAGTGATTCTGGCAATTCTAGTAATTCCAGCAGTTCCAAATAAACTATTTGAGAGGTACAGATGACACAACAGGAAAAAGCTGAAGCTTTTGAACATAATAAGTCAAAAATGATAGCATTGTTGGCAAAAGTGCGAAGTGAAAAATACATTTCACTCTTGTTTCGATAGCTGCTTTGCTGTATTAGGCAGGGAAGTTCAATGCAATCACAAATCCTTAAACCTTTTTATGCATAATTGGTGTCTATGTTGGCTGCTCCACTGACTTCATCATGAAAACAAATATTCACAATTATGATAAAACCCAGAGTTCTCCAAAAAACTAAACAATTTTCAGATTTCTCTGTAACACAAAAACAGTTACAACGGGTTCCAAACTGTTTTGTGAGCAAATGCCGCACTTTGAATTAACAACAGTACTCTTTTTCCAGGCATCCATTTGGGAACTGTAGTTCTATGTGTATACATGTGTGTGAATAGAGCTCCTTATGATTCTTTGAGGACTGTCACAACATTTAAGGTGGGCTAAAATCAATTGCTTATTCACCTTTGCACTCACTGTCATAATGTGGGTTGATTTTTTATGATTTGATTTAGCATAATGTGTGAATCCTGCCTTTGGGATTGACGGCTTCAAGAACTGAATGGACACAACTGTAGCGCAATGTGTAAACCCAACCGTTATAAAGATAATGTGTACTTCCCTAAATACAAAATGGAAATGGCTCTCAGGTGGGTCATACACATGGGCATCACCAGATCTCTAGGGACACAGCCTTAAGCACTGAAAAATGCTACAGAGCAAAAGTGATATACTGTCAAAAATGAAAATGGTGGGCCAACTTTACCCATCTGATGTTCTCCAGATGTCTTTAAACTACAATTGCTAGAATCCCTAGCTTTCTGGCTAGGAATTCTGGCAAATACAGTCCTAACTCATGCAGAGGACGCTTGATTGAGGAAGGCTACAGTAAACAAACCCTTCTCTCTTGTGTTTTCTGTGATTTTCCCCTCTTTTTTGATATTTGTTTTCTTTTCTAATTTTGGGGATTGTGGCTTCTTATTATAGAACTAGGGTGTGGAATCCTGACAGCACATCAAAGCTAGTGTGCAAGGTTGTTAAAAAGACAAGCTCAGATTATGCTATAAATATTCTGGTACAACAGGGTCACTTCCAACATGTTTAAGAAATCATAATCATATATCCAAATTATTCCATCAGCAAAAGGCCTTGTGTAACCTCATCTCTTCTTTTCCCAGACTGCTGTAACTGGACAAAACAATATCCTATCATATCTTGGCCACATTTATAGACTGTAGGTAGTAACCAGCCCAGTTAAGTCCCTGCTAATCATTTCATTACAATGAAATCCAAGATAGATGAAACACAAACTGATATACATTGAAACACTGTAAAAGACAAATCAAGTCAGGAGCTACACACTGAAAGGATACTAGGCTAGGAAAATGGTGAACATTATGACCCAGAACATGGGTAAGTTGACCAATATGTTACAGAGTGGGGCAGACTCTGCACTGATTTTTTTCTCTTTTTTTCCTTAAAAAAAGTAACTAAAAGAGGGCATGATGAAGGGTTATAAAATTACAAAGTTCTGCAAAATCATGAAGAAAGGCAGTTTCTATCTCTGTTCCCAGTACAGGAACTCAAGAACATCCAATGGAAGTTATTAGTGGAAAAGAAATACCTTTATCACACAGTGCACAATTCTTTTAGTTTAGAAATCTTTAAATGGGGATCAGAAGTTCATCATTCCTTATTAGGCATGGAAAGAAAATAAAATCTTTAAACCGAGCAGGAAAATACTAACCAAATACTAACTATCAATACCATAAGCAATATATACCATCAATATTGGGAACTTGGGATATTACAGTATTGATTTCCCAGAGGTTTCTAGCTGGCTGTAGTTGAAAGTAGGATTCTGAATTGGATTTTGCTGTTCCAGCATAGAAGCTGTTCTGATGAAGTGCTGTCTTGCACAGAGTTAATGGGAATTGCAATCCCACACATCTGGAGGGCACTAGATTAGAGAAAGTTGATCTAGTACTGAAGAATGAAATCTGAACACTGAGCTGCTTATCTTTCCCTTCCTAAAATTCTGACTAAAATGCTTACCTTCAAGCTAGCCAGAATTTGCCCTTTTTCAGCCTGGAACGCAGCTACATGCAGAGTCAACCAATGGTTGAACCTTTAGAAAATTCTGCAGGAGCTAAAAATGTCTGATTTCTGGGAATGGCAGTAGCGGCACCATGGTTTGGCATCTTTTGTGAGTCCAAAGATATTTTTGCAACATCTGATCTTTACTATTATTGGAAACATCCAAGCTGGATTTTTGTCAGGGTTTTTCTCTAACTGTTAGCTTTGCTTTATATTTCATTCCATAATCTTTGCCTTCCCAGTCCCAAGATTTTGCTTAGGATTAAGCTAGTAATTGAAAGAGAACTGGCTTGGAAGCAAGTATGATGATGATAATGAGCTTTATGGTACAGTACGGCTGCAGCTCCTCATCACTGCAATGTTGGTTACAATTGTTGGGAGTAGTAGTTCAATAAAATCTGAAGGGCCACAGGTTTTCCGTGTCTGTGTTATAAGAGTACAGTTATTATTTAGACATAAGCCCAGTGAAATCAATGAGATGATTTCAGTTTAGTAATTGTGGCTAGGGCTAGTTTGTTTCATTATAGAATATAATAAGCTTCAACAAGTCACTGTTCTTGCAAGACTGATAGTTATTTCCACACTTTTATTAACCTTATCTTCACCGGCGAGTCTTTTATGTAACCGTGGCTTTTACCATAGGATTATTACAAGAAAGTTTCACTGGATTTAAGTAAAACTCAGTGTAATAAAGTTGATTATTTGCCAATATTTTTGAAGAATCTGAATTTAACAGCTAAGACTCAATAGGCAACAAAATACTAGCTCATTATTTATGATGCATACAAAACATTGCTGCTTGAAAAGTTCACAAATGTTGCAAAACATTGGATAAGGTAGTGAAATGGACTTTCATTTGAGGTTCTTTTGCCGCTGCTAAGTTGAAGTGCTATCTAGTCTTCCTTTGGTTGGCAGAAAACTATACTGGTATGAAATTGGCTGTCCCTATTGCTGATCTGTATCCTGTCTCTATCACCTCTGATCCCAGTCATTGCTAGTCACCTGACTTCCCTCCAAGGTAACGGGAGACAAAACCTAGCCAATCTGAAATGCCTTAAAGCTGCCCTTGTATGGTGTAGGAATCTGGGGGGAAACACTACTTGAACACTGGTACAGCAAAAGATGATTTAAGGCTGTCTCACCCATGGACGGGAGGAGATGAAGGCAACATCTTAGGGACAAGGTACAAAAAAGAGATTGCCAGGATGTGTTTGTTTTGTGAAGAGGAGAAAGGTCCTAAAACAACACAGTTACAATCATCTAGGCATTTGTCAAAGAGACAAACTTTGTGCAATGTTCTAAACAACAAACAACAACAACAAAAAAGGAAATTTCAACTTCAATCTTCAGTTAAAGTGTGCTGAGTTGGCATCATATGACAATGTCAACTTTTGATTTGGTTGGGTATTTTTGGCCTGGAGCTTCATTTGAAATCCAAACTGAGCTTCAGTCCTTCCTTGTAATTAAACTTCACTGCAAGAGCATAAGGAGCTTTGAAGTTAATGCCTTGGCAAACCCAAGTGGTTTAGCTTTATGTCACTGTTAACACTAGCATGGCAAAGATAGCTTGGCAGAGGATTCTGAAAAGATATCCCTTGGGGTTATGCACATTGTAATGGACAACTCTTACCAAATATATATTAAATTTGTCAAATATGAAACCCGTGAAACTATGGGGAAATGCCACTGCCAATTAACATAAGGAAATAACAGCACTCCTACCTAAACTAAGAAATTAGTATCTTGGAGGGAAAGAAAAGAAATGATGCCTTCCTTGAAAATACTTGGCAACCAAAAATGGATGAACCGAATACTCTAGTGCAAGAATGCACAGTGTCTATTGGCTCACAGGCCATACCAGGTTTAAGGAGTGAAAGGGATGTCTTCTGAAAGGCTTTGGACATCCAGTTGGTCCCTTTACCTCCCTGCCATCCTCCAATGGCCCCATCATTTTGGGTGCCCTAAAAGTGATGCTGGTAGGATGCGTGGAGATTCTGGTTACTTGATAAATAACTAATTTGATTCTAGAATGGTTGCCAATACTTGAAATGATTAATAAATTGATATGCAGGTAACACTGCAGTTCTTATGTCAAAGTCATTTACTGGAGGCTTCAGAAATACACTATTCAGAATGATAAATTATATTGTGTAATTGCAGCCTTCCATCATTTATTTGATGTGGCTGGTTTACAAATAAGGATGACATATTTTAAATAATCGACAAAATACAGGTAGTCCTCATTTAGTGTTTGACTCATTTAGTGACCATTTGCAGTTATGACAGTGATGTAAAAGTAACTTTGCGATCAGTCCTTGCATTTACAATCTTTGTGGGTCTGTAAAGCAAAGGAAAGCTGAAGTAAGATCATAAGCACAGTTTCACTTAGTGACTGCTTCACTTAAGGGCCGAGTTGCTGGTCCCAATTGTGGTCACTAAACAAGGACTACCTGTACTGCAAATGCTGTCAATAATTGAGAATTGGGGGATGGGGGAACAAGATGCAAATCAAATAAATATTTAAAAATCCTTCTTGAAAAGCATCGACATGAAAAATTCTTAAGCTGTCCTTGGAATGGGCCTGAAAATGTTAGCTGATGTTCTAATGTATTAGAACAGTTGCATTATATGAAAGCTATTCAGCATGTTTCTTCAGATTGGTTTAGAACATACTCACAAGATTAGATTATTCAAAGTAGGTTACAGAAAAGGCAACAAGAACATTCTTATAAAAATAAATAAATGTGTAGAGAATTATTATTATTTATTTAATAAAAAATTGCAACTGCTGCAAGAAATGTAAAAAACAAAGAAAACCTTGGTCCATCAAACAAATAAACAAATCCATCCAATTGCCAGCAATACTTGGATCAACACAATAACATAAACAATAAAGATTCTTTTGACTCTTGCAGAATTTAGATAAAAGACCATCCAGTGTATTTGATTTATATCAAATATCCACATCATCTGTTTAAGTAAATGACCTTACCTGATGCTGCAGCAGAATGGAGTAGACAATGTAATGCATGGGGGACCACCAAAGGTTCATTGTATCTTATGGGCAATGATTCCCACTGGAGGCACCTTGCTTGAGGTATGGGTAGCCGCCGCTATGAGTCAACATTTGATTCAGGTCTTCCAGATAGTCCAACATTCACCTACAATAACTCTCCCACAATAATAGAGCTGGATCATCCAGTGAATAATTCAGAAGAAGATTTATGAAAAACAAGAAGTGCTTCTTTATGCAACACATTGTTAAATTATAGAATTCACTATTACAATGAATTGGAAAAGTAGAAAAATGCTTTGGACTCCTGGATATATTTGAAATCTTGAGAGTGCATCAGCAGAGATCTCACTAGATGACTGTTGGCACCAGTTTGGGCTTCTGACTTGACCTGAGAATTCTTATATTCTTATTACCATCCTGAACGGACCTTATTGGGGAGGCCTGACAGTGCTTTCAGTCTTGAAAATTCATAATCAATAATGTGTGATGTAATTTAACCCAAGAATGGCAGCACAAGGCAAATGGCGATTTATGGAATGCTCCATCCTTAAGCAAGCAGACACTTTATATTCTCTAACATTACGTGCCTTGTCAGGGAGTTATAATTGTTGCTGTTGAAGAAATTTCCCAAGCTTGAGGAATCTGAAGTGACATAACATTTATTTCCATATTCTATAAAAATCTTCATTTGTCCACTTGGCATTCAGCCCCACTCTTGGATTCTGGGTTTTCCTATTTAACTTTTTAAGGATTTTCCCTTGCATATTTTTCTTTGTTAACTTGAAGAATATACATCGTAAAGCTATCGCTGTGGGATTGTTCATCTCTTTGCACAGTCTATCTCAACCCATTCCATTTAGAAGCTCCCTTTGATTTCATTGCTATGTGCTTTTTAATTAAATTCACACTAACCTTACTTCAACGCTGGCTTTTGAGAAAACAAGATAAAAATCTACAAATCCCTGCACAGAAATTGCTCAACCAGTTGGAGGTGTTGACATAGCTACCTTGGAGAAACTATAATTTTTTCCCCTTCTTTCTAACATTTTATTGGCTGACTTGGTTATTTCAGGGTCGGCTTTTATATCATATGCTCTGTTTCACAGGAATGCAGAACATTTGACTCTGCGTCACCCATTCAAATGCACATTAGCCAGGGTCTAACAGACACTGCAACTAGTTCCATATGTCTGAAAAGTTTTGAATGTGCATTTTTCTCTTTGTGCTATCTGGTAATTTTTTTTTATTCAGATACATATTTATTCAGTTTTTTAACTCCCACTTTTATCACATGAATATAATACATAGAAGCATGAATATTTCTTTTCTAAGTGCACAATCGAAGTAATGGAATACTTCAAGGAACACTAAGAATTTTTTAAATGTTACTTTATAACATTTTGTAAAGATATTAAGCAGCTTGATTTGGTCCTCTCCCTTTTCCTTCACCAAACAACAGCAACAATAAGTATTTATTATTGACTTGTTTGTTAGACTTATATCTCACCTTTCCTGAGGCGTACAAGGCAAGAATTTCATTCCTTATTCCAACTGTCTCCAAAATAACAATACTGTGAGGTAGGTTGGGATAAGACAGAGTAACCAGTCAAAAGTCATTCAGTGTAATGGTGTGTGGGAGACTCTGTTAATGTAGCTTTATAATAAAGTAGAATTGGGTCATCTGGTTGTGTTTCCTATCTGGTCTATCTAGTAAGGTTGACATCAATCTTGCAAGTCTGAAAGTACAACCCCCCTGTCTGCTTTACAGCTCAAGAAACTAGGGAGGGTCTCTTCTGAGCCTCTTGCCTCACCCACTATCCAGCTGTGGGTTATGCTCTCTTATCTGACTGTTCCCTAGGCAATGTCTCTTGGCCCAGTCTCCCAAGGTCTTTCCCACATACTGTTACTCCCACTCCCACCCAGTGAGCTTCCATGGCTGAAGGTGAAAATAAATCTGGGTTTTCCTGGTCCTAGTTCAACACCATAACTGAAAACAAATAATTATACAAGGGATTCCTAAAGGTACAGCTTTTTCCAGACTGAAGACTGGACCTGTCATTTGGAGGGCATACCAAGGGTTCATTCCTTTTAAAAATGCCTGAAGCCTGTAAAGAGTAGGGAAGATGATATTGATGGAGATACAGAACAGTTACCTATGGAAAAGGGACTGAAACATTTTCAGATCCTGAACAAGGTAATATTTGGAAGCTCCTCAGGCCAACACTTCCCGAACTCACTGAATTATAAGGAGGAGGAGGAGGTTCAGCACAATCAGATTTGCAAGATTCTGTTCTTATAGCCAATCTCAATAAAAATAGTTTTAGCCTTCCTATGGAGCTGATTTCCTGATCCAATCAGGGGCTGATATAGCAATAACTTACTTTATTTAAAACAACAAAAATACATAAAATGTTTACTTTCTTTCTCTCTTTCTAGCAGAATCCTAACTCCTGCTTCTGTTCATCCCTACAAAAAATAAGTTGTAGTTTAGGACTTTTTGTTTTGGAAAAAAAAAAGTGACTGCGAGGGAGACCTGTTCCAGAGGGGCTATTCCTATGTTCTTACAACTGAATTGGCATCTGTATGGAGCCTTAAGTGGTCTCCGGATTGACAGCTGATTAAACCTAATTAGAAACATGTTATATTTATAGTCAAACTAATTTAATTAGATTTTATGGAGGCAGAAA